TTGTGATAGAGTACTTTAATTAAACCCATTTTGCCATTGTGTAAATCTCCCCGAAATGAATGCACCTTAATACTTTATTGTACACGTACCTTGTGATTACCGCTGTGACCCGCGCTTTTCCACACCGTCCCAACCCTGCATTCACTCCATTCCAAGAGTGTCAGTTGACATGAAGACAGTATAATCTTGTACTTTTATTCTTTTTTCACAACAATTTCCATCGAAATTTTCAAAAATAACTTTGCGAATAGTAACAAAACTCGATGATTTATCATATTCTCCGTAAATTATTGTGTTGTTCGCGCGTGATCGACTGTATTAAAGAGATATAGATTGCGTCGGTTTCCTTGCGTGTTTTTGTGTTAACATTTTGACGTACGTGTTGGAAAATATTATCGTTTGACAAAATCCGTTATTTATTTCTCAGTTAACAATACTATTATCATACAAAAATCAACACGAGTGAGCGGTATTTATTTTTGGTAAGTATAAATTAAGTATAGAGATTGAATAATATTTTTCTTTTAATTTTGCAAATATCAATGACCCTGCATTTCCTCCCCCATTCCCCACCCCTTTGTAAAGTGATTTTTGGCGCGAAATACTCGGTGAGACGCCATTTTCCCTTCGCGATTTTTGACGTGTGTGCGTGTCACTACGAGCGAGACTCGTGTCTCGAAAAACCGAGAATCTCGGGAGAAAATTATTAAATATTTTCATCTCTTTTCTTTTATAAAAAAAAGGACAGAGTCTCGTCGTGCATCTGCGTGTGAGTATAACAATAAAGTGAATTTTCTTTTTCTTTACATATTATTTACGCGAGTGTCTAAAGAAATAATTTTTTTGCCGATTGAAAACAGGTAATTTCTAAAAGGGAAAAAATAACTATTTTAGACAGTCTCGTGGTGTGAGTCTCACAACAATTATTTCGTGTCCTCGTCTCGCGAGTATTTATATATATACAAAACAAAAAAGAGAATAATTATAAAAATTTTCCGAATATAGTAAAATTTAAGTCGATTATTTTTATTAAAGAAAAAATACTCCATTTTGTAAGTGCAAACAAAAATTTAATAGTTAAAAAATAATAATTGTTCTCCCCCTCTCCCCCCTTCTCACCACTCCGGTAAAGTGACAATTTGGCGCGCAATCAGAAAAAAAGACGCCATTTTGTTTGTTTTTTCCCGTTTGTTAATTTTTTTTTTGTTTATTTTCCAAATCGAGTGTGAATATAGTATTTTGTAATTTTGCTCTAGTCTTTCAATAAATAATAATAAGATAAGAAAACTTCGCGTGTGTAGGAAGAATAAATAATTTTCGATGAAGAAAAATAAGTGAATTTTGTTTCGAAATTGATTTTGATGTTTTATTTATTAATTATTACGATTATTTCAGGAGTGTTTCTTATAAGTGATGAATAAATATAGTTTTATTAAATTTTTTTCGAATTTGTTGACAGTTTATTTGTTTAGAAATTAAATTCTTTTTTTCTTTTTTTGTAAACAATTTTAATTCAAGACAATGGTGTTTGAAATATAATTCGCTAATTCTTTTCTATTTTTATTTCTTTTTTTACTATTGTTTTTTTCAATTTTCATTTCAGTTTTTTTTCAATTTTTATTTTACTTAATAATTTACTAGTTAAAATCAATTCATAATTAGTGCGTCAATAAAATAAAAAAAATTATAAATAAATAAAAAATAAATCGAAAGTTACAAATTTTCTTATCTTCTTTTCTGTATTTTTACTGTTTTTTCTATTTTACCTTGTTTCTATTTTTACTACTATTTTTTTTATTATTTTTCTTTTTTTTGACTTTAATTTTTTTCTATTTTTACATCATCTTTTTTAATTTTTACTTTTTTATATTAGGGTCATTCTAAGTGAAACGAACAACCAAAATAATTGGAAAATCTCTATTTTCAAAATGCTGTCATTTTTATTAAAGTGCATTAAATAAAAAAAATCATAGCACTTTTTTTTTTATAGTAAATTTGTGTTTAATTTGGTTATTTTTAATTTTAAAATTGTATAAATTTTCACTACATAACTTGTTACAACATTACCATGAATATTGTTGTTTGATTTTAATTTTTTCAATGAAAATTTATAGTTTTAAAATTAAAAATAACCAAATTAAAGACAATTAAATTTACTATAAAAAAAGAGGAGCAGTCATTTTTTTATTTCATGAATTTTAAATGGAAATAACAGCATTTTAAACATTAAAAATTTCTGGTTGTCCGTTTCGCGTAGAATGTCCCATTAACATTATCTTTTTTAATTTTTACTTTCTTTATTGTTGTAAATAGTTAATAAATGCTTGAAGTAATTAAAGATCACTTTTTTTTTTAAAATTGATATGAAACGTAAAATTGATTTTATTTTCTAATCATTTCTTTTTATTTTCAGTTTGCGGCAATTCAGGATGTCCAGCGGTTAGGCAAGTCAGGCAAAAGTCAGGGGAAAAATTTCTTTAAAGTTAAACAAAAATTAAAATTTTCAAAGAATTTAAAAATTTCTTAATCTAACAAGACTTTAATTGTTATTATTACTTTCACCGTCATTAGATATTAATTTATTGTTAAATACGGTGGTGATTATTTTTTTCCAAGAAAGCAGAAATAAGAGTAGCAAAAATTTATGGAGAAGTCAGTAAAAGTTAGGGAATTTTTTTTTCTCAATTATTCTTGCTGGACATTCTGCAAATCGACAACCTGAAGGACATGATGAAAATTAAAAAGAAGAAAAGTGGTCCCTGCACACTGCCGTTTTTTTTTTTTTTTTATTTTAGTAGTTTATGTAGCCTATTTTTTTAATTATTTTTAAATTTTAATTTCACGGTTTTGTGTGGCCCCCGATCTGGCGCAGAAGTGCAATCAAGGGCCTGGGATCTTCGGGGGTGGCCCAGAAGGGGTGATGTTGTAAAATCCCATCGCCACAACGTGGGCTCATCATCCACCGTGGGAATCACAAGTAGACTATCACAAACTGTTATACCACTAAACAAGTGAATCGATTATAAAATCGACTCAATTTTTAATTATTTAAACTTTCCCTGTTTAACGTACTTTTAGAAATAATTTTCTTCATTTTAAAATTAGAAACTTTTGTTTTGAAAATTATTTTCATAAATATTTTTTAATTCGTCGCAGGAAATCAATTATTTTCAATAATTTTTAAAAACTTCTGCAAAAGAATTTAATTATCTTGATAAACAACAAAATTCTCCCCATAGAATCAATTATTTTAAGGATTTTTAATGAAATTCTTTTCTAAAATTCAATTATTTTGATAAATATCCAAATTCATCACAAGAATTCAATTCTTTTGAAAATTAATAAAATACTTTGCAAAAATTAAATTATTTTCAAAATTTTTTAAAAATTCTCGTCAAGAATTAAATTATCTTTATAAATTAGATAGGGAAATTCTTCTCAAGAATTAAATTATTGTCAAAATTTTTTTAAAAACTCTTCTCAAGAAGTTAGTAATTTTCAATAATTTTAATAAAATTCAATTGTTTTCAAAAATTATTATTTAAATTCTTCTCAGAAATTCAATTGAGGCCTTGGATCCAATAACTCGCCCGACGCATGGAGGAACGCGCAACTGCCAGTCAGTGAGCGCCTCTGGCCACTCACTGCTACCCGACTGGTATTGGCGCGTGCCTTCGAGCGTCGGGCGAGTTATTGGATCCAAGGCCTCAATTATTTTAAAGAAATTTAATAAAATTCTTTAAAAAGTTTTCAATTATTTTCAAAAATTGTTATAAAAATCCTTTAATATAATAAATTTCATTAAAATTTTAATTAAATTCTTTAAAAGAAATTAAATATTTTCAAAAGTTGTTAATACAATTCTTGGTAAAAATTAAATTTTAAGAAACATTCAATATTATTTATTTTTGTATTTAAATAATTGATTTCTCGTACAATTAAATTATTGTTTTTCGTACTTTTAACTAACAATTGTGTAGAATTAATTTTTTTGAAAAAGTTGATACATAATGAATATTACACAATATTACAGATTACAAAGTGAAGAACACATGCTTTTTTTTTCTTAAATATTCTTCATCATTCTTAATAATATTCTTAATATATGGGATGATAAAAAGTGAAAAGTGACAAAACAATAAAAAAAATATATAAAATATCATAAGTGATTATAAGTGAAAAAAGTTTTGTGATTAAAATAAGGATAAGAAGAGGATATAGGTAAGTTTTTAAAAATTATGTAAAAAATACTACTTTTTAGTAGAATGAAGAAATTTAAGTAACTTTCTAGAATCAGTTAAAAAATTCTCGAGTTTGCCTTGTTTAATTAAAATATTAAAATTAATATAATTTCTGAAATACTTTACATATGTTTTAATATTCTTTTTAATGAATCTTAAACAAGCACCCAGATATTATTAAATTTTTTTTTAAAGGTTAAAGAATAATTAGGTATAAAATTAAACTCTGAAAGTTAATAAACAGGTGCTATAATAATTGAATTACAGTTTTAGCATTTTTAACTTTTAGAGTTACATTTTAATGCTAATATTTTTTTTAAAACAAAAACATTAATATTTTAAAAATAAACTGAATACTTATTTCAGCTTTATCCAAAGAACATTAAAACATGTAAAGTATTTTCGAAATTATATTAATTTTACTTTATTTTTTTTACATAATTTAATCCCAACAAAAACATCTTTGATGTTATAATATAATATAAGTATAAATATAATAAAAGTTATAATAAACTGATGAAAAAAATCTGTAGTGTTTTTACTTTGTAATTTACATATTATGAACACAATTAGTGAAATAATCTTGCATAATTGTTGTGTTCTTAAATTAAGGTTTTCTTTTGTCTCATGTGATTAGGAGTAGGCACGCGACGCGCGCCGTTTTGGTTCTAGTTATTAAAATATTTTTGAAAATTATATACATAACTGAAAAACTATTGTCTTTCAAAAATTATTTTTAAATATTTTTAATTAAAAATAGGTTTGCATTAAATAGTCGATTAGATAAACGAAAAATTATCGGGAAGGTAGGATTAGCTAATATTTGTTTTTTTGAATTTATGAAGCTTACTCGTGATGTATCTGATTGCAGATGTACCTTAATACCATTTCTTCGCATGCGTTTCTCATCTACATAGTTTCAATTACATTCTACCCCTAATTCCCTATTTTTTACCCAAAAAAATAATCTAGTAATTTTTTTCTCAATGTCAACCCTGATTTAAATCCTATTCTTCCCCCTCACAAAAAAAATAGGGGGAATGAGTAAGTGAGAGAAATATCGTATTTATATATGTATATATATGTCTATACATGTATACATTATCATTCAGTTGTTCCTTTTACATTCGTACTTCTCAAATATAGTCTAAAAAAATATTTAAAAAAAGAAAAAGTTAACCGCAAAAAAATTGTGATTGTTATAATTACTTCTTATCATCATTGTTACAATAATTATTTAAAAAAAGAGAAATCATCAAAAAAATAAATAATGCAATCGGCTGAAAAAATGTTGAGTCTAAAGTGGACGAGTTTTCCCTCGCAATTGGCCGTCTCAATGGATACATGCTATGAGAAACAGCAATTTGTCGACGTATCTCTTGTTTGTAAGGATGGTACAATTTTAAAATGTCATAAAATGATACTCGCTAATGCAAGTACATTTTTTTCACGTCTATTAATCGTTGCCAATGATCATCCACATCCAATGATTATTCTTCATGACATTGAGGCAGACGATTTAAAGACAATTATTAATTTTATGTATTGCGGTGAAATACAAGTTGTGCAAAGTGAGGTTAGACGATTATTGAGAATAGCAAATATCCTTGAAGTTACTGGCCTCACGCAAATACAAACAATTGAAACCGGTAGTCCAAATCAAGAGTGTCAAATTTTCGATAATATTGAACGTGCCAGTGCAAATAATAATAATAAAAATAATAATGGTTCCGAGGTAATAAATTCATTCAACAAATCAATCGTCAATAATGCGGGACAGAAATTTGACTCGAGTTGTAGTGGAACGCGGTTTGATTCGAATAATCGTGAAATTAGTAATAATACAATTGGTAATAATACAATAAGTAATAATTCAAATAATAATAGTAATGGTAATAATAGTAGTAGTAATATTAATAGTAATATTAATAGTAATAATAATTCACTCTCGAGATTTGAGATAAATTCGCAGAGATTTGATTTTAATTCCCCGATACGATTTGATGCTAATTCACCATCAAGTTCAACGTCTAGTGGATTACGTTATGATAGTGGAAGAATGCAAATTAATACGCAACGTTTACCATCGCGTAATAATAGGGAAATTCTATCGCCAAGGAGAATAGAGACAACATTAAATCGTGGCAAGGAATTTGGAACGGAAATTATTCAAACTAATCGTTTACGATTAGCGAAAGCTGGCATCGATATTCAAGAAGGTGCATTTCTATTCTATTTTTATTTATTTATTTATTTAAAAAAATTTTTTTTTTAAATTATCGCCTACTGCGATAATAGTGAACAATTATTGTTCACTATTATCACAGTAGGCTTTGGATATTATGACTTTTTCAATTTTTTTCTCCAATTAAAAAAAAAACAACTTCTTCCGACTTATTTTCAAAATTTGTGACTTTTCGACTTTTCTTTCAAATATAGCAACAAAACTCTACATTTTTTAAAGTATAAAATGCAACTTATTTCGATTTTTATAGTTTGAGAAATATAGACAAATCTTTCAAAGATTAGTTTTCAATAATTTTTATAATAAAATTTACGAATTATACAATATTATAAAAAGATGTTGAATAATTGAAATTTCGTAAAATTGAATTAAAATTATAATTTATTTTTTTTCAAGTATTTTATTAAAGTTTTTGAAAATCAACTTTTGAAGAATTTTTTATTGCAAATTTTGAAAAAATAATTGAATTCTCAGAAATTTTAATGAAAAATCTTCAAGGTGTAATCTTAACAATGAAAATTAATTAAAATTAGCTTTTAAAGATTATTAAAATATTTTTGAAAAAAGTAATTCTTAGAATTTTGTCATTCTATTTTTTTTTAATTGAATTATTTTCTATACTTTCAATTACATATTTCTGAAAATTCAAATATTATTACATACAAACAATATAACATGAAATTTTTTTAAATTTATTATTAACATTTTAGAAAAAACACAAAAAAAATTCAAAATTCTTAATTAAAATTCATCAGAAAATTAATTATTTTTTTTTAAATTATACAAAAATTCTTTTAAGAAATTCAATTATTTTCGAAAAATTACATTATAATATTTTTAAAAAATTAATACTTAAAATGGGTTTTTCTTAATTTTTAAATGTTCAATTATCTTTGAAAAAAGTAAATTAAAAGTTTTAAAAATTTACTTTTTTCGGATTAATAAAATTTTGAAGAAATCATATTCATTTTTATAAATAAAATTCTTCAAAAATTTTATTATTTTTCTTACATTTTTTAAAAATTATTTGTAAAAGAAAGTATAGAAAAAACAATTATTTTCATAATTTATTGTCGAAATTCTTAACAAAACTTAAATAAATTATTTTTAAATATTTAAACAAAATTTGTTATAATATAATTCTTTTATTTTCAACCAATTTTTCTTTAATTTTCCAACATTTTGAAATTTTTGAAATTTTATTTAACTAAAAATTAAATTCTTTTTATAAAAATTAGCTAAAAATATTTTTAAAAAACTGATTTTCAGAATTTTTCGTTAAAATTTTTTTGAAATTCTTTTTTGTTTTTAATATTTTAACATTTTTTAATTACCTACATATTTAGAAAAATCAAATTATTTTCAAAAAATTACATTAAAATTATTTAAAATATCTAATTTTTAAAATTACTATTAAAATTTAAGAGAAAGCAAATATTTTCATAATTTACTGAAAAAATTACAAAGAAGTTGTTTAATTTTAAATATTTAAAAAATATTTTATATAGTTCTTTTATTCTCTAACACTTTTACTAAATTTCTTTTATTTTGAAATTTCTCAAACAAATATTATTAAAAGTTCCAAAAATTAGATAAAAATAGCTTTTGAAAAACTAATTTTCAGATTTTTTTGTTATCATTTTTTAAAAATTCAATTATTATCGATATTTTTAGTTTTAAATTTCAAAAAATTGTTAATATTATTTTAGAAGAATTTTAGCTAAAGTTTGAAAAATATAAATAAATTCCAGAAGTTAGAGTAGAAATTTTTTAAAAGAAATAAATTTCCAAAGTTTTCATAATTGAAATTTTTCAAAACTTTGTATTTTAAATAATTTATAAATTAAAATTCTAAAAAATACTGTTTTTTTTCAATTTTAATACAGTTTTTCACAAATTTTTAGAATTTTTAAATATTGTAATTAAAAAACTGTGGATAATGGAAATTTCGCAAAATTAAACAAAAAACAATTAAATTGTAAACATGGAGAAGAATTTTAGTTGAAAATTCTGATAAAAATAACTGAATTTTGTAAGAATCAGAAACATTTTTTAGAAATAATTAAATTTCAAAAATTTTCATATTAAAATAGTTGAGATTTTTGAATTTTAAATAATTACAATTAAAAAATATGAAGAACTTTGTTTTTAGAAAAATATCAATTCAATTTTTTTTAATTCCAATTTTTAAAATATATAAATTCATATTGAGAAGTTTTCCAAAAATCGAAATTTCCTAAAACTGAATTGAAAACAATTAAATTTCTGACGTATTTTTAATTAAAATTTCTTATTTCTTCTTTGGAATAATTGAATTTTTAACTATTTTAATTGAATACTTTTCAAAATGAAATAAAAAAAGAAATTTTAAACGTATTTTAAATAATTTAATCATCGAAAGAATTTCACAAAATTATTAAAAATATTATTTGACTTAGAGGGAAATTTTAGTTAAAAATTGTAGAATTTTATTGAAAATTAAAAGAATTATATAGGTTTTAAATTATAATTTTGCAAAATACTTCAAATTTTAAATAATTTCAATTATAAAATCGAAAGAACCTTGTTTTTGAAAAAATTGTAATATAATTTTTTGTTAAATCTGTTGAATTTTTGAATATTTCAATTTAAAAATTTTCGAACAAAAAAAATTTCGTAAGATTGGATTTTTCGTAAATTTTTAACTTATGTTAATTGTAATTTTTCTTTTAACTTTCAAAGAACGTTCTCAAAAATCATTAAAAATAATTAATCTATAGAAGAATATTGGTTAAAAATTCTTTAAAATATTTGAATTTTGTAAAAGTTGGTAGAAATTTTTTTTTTAGAACTAAAAGTCAAAAAAATTGAAATAGTTTGAATTTTTGAATGTTAAACAATTAAAAGTTGAAAATTTATTTTTAAAAAAATTGATTTTGTACCAATTAAAATTTGTTTAATAAAATTAAAATAATTAAACTGTTTCTAATTGTGGCAAAAATAAAAAAATTTCCCAACATTTTTTTTACAGTAAGTAGACCAGGAACGAGTAGAAGTCCACAACCACAGCAATTGTGTCAAAAGCGAAAAGAAACTGAAACAAATAATAATCCATTGAGTTGGACACGCGTTTTAAATATGTTATCACGAGATAATCAATTGCCAGTTAAGAAACTTTGTATGATGGATGAAGTTGAAATATCGCCGAGTAAAATTATTACAGTACAAACGCAACAACAACAGCAACAACAATCTTCGTCATCATCATCATCATCGTCGTCATCTTCTTCGTCATCATTAATTCAAATATCACCAGCTCGCGCATCCAGTTCATCAGAACCAGTTGAATTATTTATAAAAGATGAAACTTTAGAATTTCCTTTTGAATCAAACCCGAAGCCAAATATCTGATCTTTAATCAATGCCAATGATAATAAAAATAGTGGTTCATTGGATATATCGGTTATTAAGGCATCATCTTCGTTTGAATCTGGTATTGAGGAATTGGAGGATAACGATTTTGGTCTTGAGATTGTTGCCCGATGGAAAATGAAATCGGATTAAATTTTTTAGTTTCCATTCAAAAATTAATGTTTCATTTATTTATTTACTTCTTTTTGGTATTTCTGACATTTTTTGGGAATTTTTCTAGCTTCATTTCTTTTTTTTTCAAAGAAATTTTGTGTTCTTATGGCCGAAAAGTCTGACGTTGTTTTCTATTTCTTTCAAACATTTTGAATTCTTTTGTTTAGAATAAGAACAATTGTTTAAATTCTCTTCTTTGTTTTTTTATGTTTTTATTTTTCTTTCTGTTTTTTTTTTATTTTTCATTTACTTTTTGTTTCATTTTATTTTCTTTTTTCGTCTCTTTTTGACTTTTTCTTTCTAATTTCTGTTTCGTTTTGTTTTCTATTTGTTTTTATTATTCTTTCTATTTTTTGTTTTTATTCGTTTTCTTTTTGGTATTTTGCTATTATTGTTTTCTTTTTATTTTCCTTTTTCGTTTTTTATTTTTTTCGGTTTTATTCACTTTCCGTTTTATTTATTTTCCTTGTTTTTATTTTTTTTGTTTTTATTAATTTTTTGTTTCTTGTTGTTTTCATTTATTTCGTTTTTATTTTTACTTCTTTTTTGTTCCCATCGATTTCGTTTTTGTTTTTATTTTTTTCTTTTCTTCCTTTTTTAATTTCTATTTTGTTTACTTTCTTTCGTTTTTATTTGGTTTTCCTTTTTTTGTTTCTATTTTGTTTACTTTTTTTTTGGTTCCATTTTGTTTACTTTCTTTAGTTTCTATTTCGTTTTCTTTTTTGGTTTCTATTTTATTTTCTTTTTTTGCTTTCCATTTTGTTTACTTTTTTGGTTTCTATTTATTTTCCTTTTTTTGGTTTCCATTTTGTTTTGTTTTATTTACATTTTCTTTTTCCTTTCTTTGTTTCTATTCTGTTTACAAACTTTCTTCTTCATTTTTCTTTAATCTGTTTCTTTTTCTCTTTCGTTTGTTTTTATTTTATTTTTTTTTTCGAGTCTTTTCTATAATTTGTAATTCTTTTTTTGTGTTTTGTTTTTGAAAGCAATTAAACGAGTGTAAAATTGTAAATACCGAGACAAAGAAAAAAAAATTAAGAAAATAAACTACAGACTATGTTAGAAGTTGCCATGGAAACGAAATTATAACCTTTGTCGATCAAGAATTAAAACTAAATTTCTACTTTGTCGTTAAGAAGAAAAAAAAAGTCGTCAAGAGAGAGAGAGAGAGAGAGAGAGAGAAAAGAATTCAGTTAAAAAAATGGATACCAGAAATGAATTTGCAGACGAAGCAAAAATTTTCGAGTCAATTTCGTCCGATAAACACGCCACTCAGGAGGAATTTGAGAATTTTATGCATCGCGTCACTGATGTTGGTGAGCATTATTTGAAAATTCGCTTTTTTGTACTAAAAAAAAACAGTAAATTATGCAAAAAAATATTCAGAATTTATTATTTTACTATTTTTTATACACTATTTTTTTTATTTAAAAAATTGAATTCTGAAAAAATTTGATTTAAAAAAGAAATCTTAGTTTAGTTAAATTTTTTTAGAATCAGAAATAATAATATTAAAATATTATTTTCAAATCATTTTTTAAATAAATTATTTATTAATTTAACAATATTTACAAAAAAAAAATGAATAATTTTCAGAAAAAATAGTGAAAAAATTAGCGTCTTCCGATTTAAAGGAGCAAGAGGAGGGAAAATTATTGGCTGATCAAATTTTGGAGGGAAATTCAGAAAAAGAATTAACAGACGTTGGTGAAATACGAATAAAAACAAATCGAACAGTAATAAATAAATCTTCCACTAATAATGACGATACAAATACTTCGAAAGGTAGAAAAAATTATTTTTCCCTTAAATTAAATAAATAAATAAAATTAAAAATTAGAAAAATCAAAAATGAATAAATTAATAGAATTAATAAATAAATATAAAATTAAGAATAAAAAAAAAGGAATAAAAGAATTGATAGAATTAATAAGTAAATAAAATTGAAATATAATAATTTTTAAATATACATTAAAAAATAAATATAGTGAATAAATAAAATTAGAAATCAAATAAATATTAAAATTGAAAATCCATAAATTTTAATATTATAATTGTGAAAATGAAATTTTTAATTAATTTCCCTCCTTTTCTTTTCGACAGATGCTTTTATGAGGAGTGTGGAATGGGACGCAAAGCAGCGTGCCGATGATAGAAAAATGCGTAATGAACGAGCGGAAACTTATAAAAGAATTGGAAATGGTGCATTTAAAGAGGGCGATTATGAAAAGGCATTAACGTATTTTACGCGTGCCATTGAATTTCGTAAGGACTCGACAGTACTTTGGAATAATAGAGCATTAACTTTAATGAAATTAAAAAAATACAGAAAAGCCATTGACGATTGTGAATGGTCTTTAAAAATATGTAATTCCAATATAAAGGCACTTTTAAATATTGCCAAATGTCATGCCCTTCTTCACAATCACGAAAAATCCAACGAATTTATTCAAATCGCAAGAGAGCGAAATTCCAATTTTACTGATTTTATAAATGGTAGTATTCAAAAATTATCCTCGAGGAATTTTTGGTTTTTTTTCATTTTTTCTATTTCTTTATTTTCTTTTTCACTGTTTTCTATTTTTTTATTTCATTTCTTTTTTCCATTTTTTACTTTATTTTTTCTATTTCTTTATTTTGGTTTTCTATTTCATTTTATCAATTTTTTCATTTCGTTTCTTTTTCATTTTTTACTTTGTTTTTTCTATTTCTTTATTTTGGTTTTCTATTTTATTTTATCCATTTTTTCATTTGATTTCTTTTTCTTTTTTTATTTTCTACTTTATTTTTTCTATTTCTTCATTTTGTTTATTTTTCATTTTCTTCTATTCATATATTTTTTTAAAATTTTTTATTCTTTTTTATTTTGTTTTCTTCAACTTTGCTTTTTTATTAAACTTAAATTTTTAAATTCGCCTTAATTGTAACGTTTTCTAGAAAGAAAAAAAATTTTTTTGATTAATCTTTTTCTTGCAGATTTTGAAAAAGAATTGAAAAAATTGGAGGAGGAAGTGATACCAAAAAGAAGTGATGATCAAGGAGCTTCCAACAATTAGTTGTAATTACTGAATCAATATTATTATGAACAAGTGTTTTTATTTACAAAAAAAACAAAAAATAGATAATAAACGTAGTAAATGTTTAACAAATTGTCGCATTTTTTTCCTTAATTTCAGACAATGATCTTGGTTCGTGAATAAAAACCATGCACTCGATCCCCTGCAACAAAGAAAAAGAGAAAAATTTATTAATTAAAAATAAACAATTCCAACCTTCGATCAACTTTAAGAAGTAAAAAATAGACGTTTTATTTGATTCGAATTTAAAAAAAAATCGAAAAAGTCCTTCATTTTATTCAGGATTTCCACATAAATTTAATTTGGTATTTTTCTTATTATTTTGTTAAAAGAATATTTAAATAATCATTGTTTTTATTTTTCCACAGGAATTACTTTTGAGATAAAATTCGTCTCATTTTTTAGAACAAAATGTTTCTTTCGATGTTTAAAAGATCCTCTTCATATTATATATTTTATACTCTATCGCTCAATAAAATTTGTGTTCAAGAAACACAAATTGAGACAACATTCAAATTCACATCTTTTAAAATTTATTTCTAAAAATTTCTTCTGTACCTAATTCTTTAAATATTGAATAACTTTATAGAAATTTCAAATTTAATTCTTCTTGAAGTCAATTATTTTTAATAATTTTCAGAAAGTTCTTTGAAAATTAAATTATAAAAGAATTTTGATTTCAAACACGTTATTCGAAAATTTTGTAATTAAAATATTTAAAAATTCAACAAGTATAAAAAAAACTTTAAATTAAAAATTTTGAAAAAAGAAGTTTATTAGAATTTCGAATTAAAATTATTTAAGAATCGAAGTTTTATTAATTATAATTTAAAATTTCTAAAAAAAATTTACTATAATTCTACTTTTTAAGCTATAATTCTCATATTAAAATCTAGATTTTTTAACTAAAATTTTTCTCTAAACTAATTATTATTTTTAGTATTTTTGAGAAGTTTCTTTGAGAATAAATCTTTCTAAAAATAAGAAAACTTTCATTTAAAATATAATTTCTTTCTTTTTCAAATTTAAAAACTTTCTGTTATTCGAAATTTTTTTAATGAAAATATATGAAAATTTAATAAATTTTAGAAAATTTTAAATTAAAATTTTTCAAAAAACTTAGTTTATTACAATTTTAAATTAAAGTTTTATTCAAAAGTCAAAGTTTTTAAAAATTTGAATTAGAGAAATTCTGAAATTCAATTATTTCTAAGAATTTCTAATAAAACTTACAAAATTCAATTATTTTCCAGAATTTTTAATAAAAATAATTTTTATAAATAAAATTTTTTAATAATTTTCAAAAAGTTCTTGAAGAATTTCATTATTTAAGAAAAAGGAATTTTTTTTGCTTAAAATACTTTTAAAATTTAATTATTTTCTATTGAATTTTTCGAAATTTTCCTTATTTTAAAAATTTTTAATTACAATATTTAAAAATTCAATAAATTTTTTAAAAATTTATATAGAGATTTAAAAAAAAGTAAGTTTTTTAGAATTTTTATTTTAAATTGTATTCAAAATTCAAAATTTTGAAAAATTTCAATTATGAAAAACATTCGAATTTTATTTGTTTTTAAAAATTTCTACTAAAAATTTAATTCTTTTTAGAAAAATCTTTTAAAATTTGAATTATTTAAGTAGAAAGAAATTTCACTTAAAAAACGTTCGAAATTTGCTTTCAATTTAATTTGACGAAAAATTTTCAATAAAAATATATCAAAATTTAACAAATTTGGATTATAATTTTTTTAAAAAGTAAGTTTTTTTTAGAATTTTTAAATTAAATTATTCAAAATTCAAAGTTACGAAAAATTTCAATTAGAAACCTTTTAAAATTTAATTATTTCTAAAAATTTTTACCCTAACTCTTCAAATATTAAATTATTTTCTAGAATTTTCAAATGCTTCTATAACTTAATTATTTTAAGAATGTTCATTAAAAATTGAATTAATAAAAATGAACTTTTACTTCAAAGACGTTTAAAATATAATTTCTTTTAAATTTAATTTTATGTAATTTCAATAATTTGAAAATTTTTCAATGTCAATATTTAAAAATTTAACAAATTTGGATTACAATTTTTAATAAAAGTGAGTTTTTTCAGAATTTTTAATTTAAATTATTCAAAATTCAAAAGTTTGGAAAAATTTCAATATTGGAAACCTTTTAAAATTTAATTATTTCTAAATATTTCTACTGAACTTCCAAAATTTAAGTATAATCTTCAAATTTTAATTTAAATTCTAAATAAAAATTATTTTTTATAAAATATTTGGAGAGTTTTTCCAGAATTTAATAATTTTAAAACAAAAATTCAATTTTCGGTTATAAAAACTGATTAAAAAATTTATGCAAGACAATTCTTAATCATTTTTCAATTTAAGAAATACTGTCTAGTACTAATAATAAATAATTATTTATTATTAATAATAAATATTTACTAATAATAAATATTTATTACTAATAATAAATAAATACTAATTTAATTCCATAGAATGACAAATGAAACTAGCGTTCAATATAATTCACTCTCGAAATATTTTTAAGTTATAATTATTTTATTTTAATCAATATATTTAAATATTTATTAACTAATTTATTAAAAAGATTTTAGATAAATTATATCAGAATTTATTTAATATATTAATTAAAAAAAATTTAAGTCTTAAATCTTCTTCTTCTCTTTAAAAATAGAAAACGTAATTTCACCTGCATTCGAGCGGCACGTACAAAACCCTCATTTGCAGTGACAGTGACGCTCCTCATATTTTCTCCGGTGGCAAAAACAATTCGCGATCTATCCTTAATTTTACCGCCAACGGACAATTTTTCGACAATACGCCCACGCGGTATGTCGTCAACAATTTTCACTCTGCTCATTAATTCATCAGCTCTTGATACTTCATTTGGCCCGCCAATTACTTCGATAATATTCATAAAATTCTCATAAGCCGTTTTACAAACAACAAGCTCTTTATCTTGAAACAATTTCTCGAGTATCGGTTTTACAGCCCGATTTCTCTCCCATTCGGCCTGCGTTGTCAATAATGGTTCCTTATAAACAAAATTTGCGTGACCATTTGTCATATTCGTCACATAGGCGAGTAACGTCGACACATCCAAATTCAATAATTTTATCTCCGGATCTATTCGATTCGACACATCCAAATCGGGAAAATAAAAATCCTCCATTGAATCATCGTCCGAGGCTGAAATTTTTTTTATACAGAATTAGAATAAATATATTTAAATATTTTAAATATATAAATATTTTAGAATTTTTTTTAAATAGAAAAGTCTTTGTTTTACCACTGAAATCTTCGTTACTTGATGTTCGGCTGGGAATTTTTTCGCCTTTAACGACAATGCCTTTATTTTCGAGTTTCTCCGCGAGGGGGATCTCGATACCGGAGGCAAAATGAAAGACAACTTCCGGCGAACGATACATGTGTGGATGATTAATTGCGCATTGTAAAAAACAATTGGCCTGATCTAATACCGACTTTTGGCCATACTCGCCATTTCCCTTTGAAATTAATGTCAGAGCGCGTGCATTTCGCGCAATTACTTTTATCCATTGTGAACCACCTTTACAAACAATGTCCACCTCCAGGCGTGAATTTTTATAATTAAATGGCTTTAGTACATGAATTGGCTCATTTGCCGCAAATAAACATTCAACAATTGCATTTAAATGTATTAAATTTGTACTTTGTAGATGTTCCTTCTTCACTGTTCCTGCCGTGCGTACCTTAAATATTTTAAATTCTAGAATTATTAATTTTATTCATCGTATTTATAAATAATGTTATTAAAATTAGTCAAATAAAATTATAAGATTTTCATCAATATAAAAATTAATTTTTAAAATTTTTAATTATTATTATTATTATTATTTATAAAAATTATCAGATTTTTTATCGCAGGCCTTGGAGCGACTTTAAGGCGCAAAAAAGTCGTTTTTGTCGATTTTTAACGTAATTTTTTTGTGAGGAATTCAATGATCATAAAATAAAATCGGTCAGAAAATATTTTGACACTTTTAGAATTTTTAGTTTTCTTAAAAATTTTTGGATTTTGAAATCCATGCGTAATTTTTTAGAAAATATGTTTTTAAATCCAAGAAAAAAATTGCCAAATGAAAAAATTGATTTTAGTAATTTTTGAAGTACTTTTTGGGCTCGGTTGAACTAGCGACCCGCCGGCCGCCACCCATCAGAAGAATCCATAGGCGCCGACACACATAGTAGCGCGGTGGCCCTTATGGTTCAATCAACGCAAAAAAAAGTACGCTAGCTATTACAGTTTATTAAAAATATTTTCAATTGTCACATTTTGAAGAGCAATAATCCCCCTTTAATTTCTGACAAAGAAATAAACATTTGGTCTTAAATTATTAGAGTTATGAATTTTTTTCCGATTTTTTTTTCAATTTTCGTTTTTCTGATACGGGCGGATGGGGACGCTGGCTATCAAAAATTTTTTAAATGAATTCTTATTGGTCACATTTTAAGGAGCATTAATCCCTCTTTAATTTGCGACCAAGAAACAAAGAATTGGTCAAAAATTATTCGAGTTATGAATTTTTTTCCGATTTTTTTCCCAATTATCGATTTTCTGATACGGGCGGGTGGGGCCGCTGGCTATCAAAAGTTTATGAAAAATATTTTCAATTGTGACATTTTGAAGAACAATAATCCCCCTTTAATTTGCGAGCAAGAAACAAAGAATTGGTAAAAAATTATTCGAGTTATGAATTTTTTTCCGATTATTTTTTCAATTTTCGTTTTTCTGATACGGGCGGATGGGGACGCTGGGTATCAAAAGTTTATTAAATATATTTTCAATTGTCACATTTTGAAGAGCAATAATCCTCCTTTAATTTCTGACCAAGAAATAAGCATTTGGTCTAAAATTGTTCGAGTTATGAATTTTTTCCCAATTTTCGATTTTCTGATACGGGCGGGTGGGGACGCTGGCTATAAAAAGTTTATTAAAAATATTTTTAATTGTTACATTTTGAAGAGCAATAACCCCCCTTAAATTTCTGACCAAGAAATAAGCATTTGGTCTAAAATTGTTCGAGTTATGAATTTTTTTCCGATTTTTTTACAATTTTCGTTTTTCTGATACGGGCGGGTGGGAACGCTGGCTATCAAAAATTCGAACAATTTTCGACCAAATTTTTATTTCTTGGTCACAAATTAAAGGGAGATTATTGCTGTTTAAAATGTGACTATTGCATTTTTTTCTATAAACTGTAATAGCTAGCGTACGTTGTTTTTGCGTTGATTGAACCGTATAGGGCCACCGCGCTACTATGTGTGTCGGCGCCTATGGATTTTTCTGATGGCTGGCGGCCGGCGGGTCGCTAGTTTCACCGAGCCTATTTTTTGAATGAAATATTTTTCTTTCGTTAAAAATGCTAAAAAAATACCATTATTATTCAATTTTTTTATTTGAAAATTCATTTGTTTATTAAAAAATATTAAATTTTTATATGAAAATTTATATTTTTATTTTTCTACCTAATTTCAGATCATAATTTTTATATATAAAAAATAAAAAATAGGTATACAAAAAATTATTAACTGAAGTTAGGTGGAAAAATAAAAAAATAAATTTTCATATAAAAATTCAATATTTTTGGTATTTTTTAGCATTTTTAGCCTAAAAATTTAAAGATTTTTTTTCATAAAAAATGCTTCAAAAATTACGAAAATCAAAATTTTTTTATTTAGCAACTTTTTAGTATATTCAAAAACATATTTTCTACACAATTACGCATGGATTTCAAAATTTACTAATTTTTAAGAAAAATGAAAATTCAAAATGGCTGAAAATATTTTTTCACATATTTTATTTTATGACCATTGAATTTCTAACAAAAAAAATACATTAAAAACAATTTTTTGGTGTATTTAAATTATTTTCTTGATATAGTTAAAAATATCGATGTACCCTCCCATTAAAAAAAAAATTCGTTTATGTAATTCAGTGTTGTCACAGAAATTTTATTTTGTATTTCCCTGACCTTTCACTCATTTCAATTATTCAACTTGAATAATTTTGTTAAATGAATATTTAAATACTTCTTATTTGTTTTTCCACGGGAAATAAAATTTCTACAAATTACAACTACAAGCTTTTCAAAATTTAATTATTTTCCTCAATTTTTTACTAAATCTCATCTCCAAATAAATTATTTTTAATAATTTTCCGAATGTTCTACCAGAATTCAATTATTTAAATACAAAAATTTAATTTTTTATAATAATTACAACGGTTTATGTTTTTTTTAGTTATTAAGGTATAATATTTTCAAAAAATTATAATCCTAAAGAAATTCATAAAATTAATTTTAAAAAAATTTTTTAAAGAAATTCTTAAAATTAATTTTAAAAAAAGTTCTGAAAGATAATAATTTTTCATTAATATACAATTAAAAAATTTCTAAACAATTAAAATTTAGTTAAATATTTCAAAACTAATTGAATTTTTAAAAAATGTAAAAAAAATAATAAAATTTTTGAAGAATTTGAATCATAAAGATGATTTTTCCAAAATTGTATTATGTTTAAAAAAGTAATTCTTTAAAAATTTTAATTTATTTTGTTCAAAAATTATTTAAAAAATTCTAAGAATTAGTTTTTTAAATTATTGTAATGTAATTTTCCGAAAATAATTCAATTTTCTTAAATTATTTTTGTAAAATTTAGAAAAAACTAATTTTTTGAAGATTAAAAATATTAAAAATAATTGAATTTCAAAAAAATTTGAATCGAAAAATTCTAATTTTTAATTTCTAAAAATTTTAATGTTATATTTTTTGTTTGTATTTAAATTTTAGGAAATATGCAATTAAAAATACTGAAAATAATTGAATTTCAAAAAAATTTGAATGGAAAAATTCTAATTACTTTTTTTAAAAACATTTCTATATAATTTTTAGAAGCTAATTTTCATTAATTTTCTTTTTCAAATTTACACATGAAGATTTTTCGTTAAAACTTTGAAGAATTCAATTCGTTACCTCAAGTAGAGGATGAGAATTTAAGCAAAAAAATAATATAATTACTAATTATTGCGATACAAATATTTAAATAATAATTATTATTCAAATTATGTTCATTTAAAAAAAATTAGAAAAAGTTCTTCTGAATGGGGCACCGTTTCGAAATACATACGCCCCTGACTTTGTAATTTCGATTTTAAAAATTTTAAATTGGACAGGGCCCTATGGAGAAATACACCCGCCCCTGATGTGAAAATTACATTTCAAAACAATAATTAAAGGTTATGTTTATTCAAGAAGAGTAAAAAAAAACTGAAAACCACTTTTTAAAAAAGAAAATTTAAAAGTAAAAAATGTCTTTGTTTGATAATTTAAAGTGAGACTCACCTTCTCTAAAAAACGTATTTCCTGCATAAATTTTCTAACCAGCTTCTCGACACCTTCAACATTTTTCGCCTCGTTTAATTTGTCGACAGCAATTTTGCCTAATTCTATTTTTTCCCCGAGACATTTTAACAATTCCTCTTTATCATCCATACAATCGTTAATATTTGAAATTAATTATTAAAGAATGAGGTAAATATTTCTAAGAAAATAATACTGAAATTTTCTCCCTTTTTTGCATTGAATCCATGACTAAATTTACAGCGCATGCTCGACGCCATCTTGAAATGTGCTCCATGTGTTTGTGTGTGCGTGCTTTATCGGTTTTCACGTGAAGCGACAACAAAATTGAATGTGCGGAATGTTTTTTTTTAGTTCTATTTAATTAATAATAATAATATAGAGAAAAAGATTTTATCTCTACAATTGAAATAGTTTATTTTTGACAATTATATTTTCTTCCGGTTGTAATCGAGTATTAAATCGATATTTAACTGACTGTCAGGGTATAAAAAGTGTTCTCTCTCTATATATATATTGTGTTAATTGTCTCACATTGCTAATAGACAATACAATAAAGTGATTTAAAGTGATATTAATTATTGTTTACAAGAAATATTATTTTATAACTGAAGAATGTCTGTGGCTGATAAAATTAAAAATCCGGAAGTTCCAGGTAAGTTTGCTGATGTATTTTTCCTTTTTCTTACTATCGTATAGTAAATAGAACAAAAGTTTGTAATTATTTTCTTTTCTTTTTTATTAAAAATAAATTTAGACATGGAAGTTTATTTTTTAAATTATGAAGTAATTTTGTTGAATTTTAAGGTATTTTTTGGTTTTATTTCAAGAGAATGGGTTCGATTCAAATTGTAATAAAAATGTTCTTTCGTGAAATTTTTTTGAGGTTATGTTTCGTTGCTATACGAAAGGGGTAAAAAGAAATTTTTTTATAATAAAAATGATGTTAAGGTTTATTTTTTTTGAAAAAAGATTAAAAGAATTTATTTCAAAGTTTTTTAAAAATTTTAAATGTTATAATAGTAATAAAAATAAGTTAAAATAATTATAAAAAACGAAAATAAAAATTTTAAAAAGCCGACAAAATAAAAATAAATAAAATATACGAACAAAGTGTAAAAGGCAAGGTTAAATAGAAATTTAAAAATAAAACAAAAAATATAAATTTAATATTAAACAAATTAGAAAGAAAAAAATAAAAGAATAGCAAATAAATAAATAAAAAATTTTAAAAATTACCTAATGCAAAACGAAAACAAAATATAATAATAATTAATCAAATTCTACATTTTTTTCCAAATTTTTAATAAGAATTCTTCAAAAATATAATTATACTTAAAAATAAGTTTTATGAGTGAAATAAGATAAAATTTTTTAAAATATAAAATTTATTTTCAATGAAATTTGACAAAAATTTCCACTTATTGTTAATTATTTTAATAATTAATATTTATTTATTATTTCTCCACCGGAATAAATTTTTTTAATAATTTTAAATTAATTTTATTCTCATTTTTTAATTTTAATTTAATTTTTTTGAAATTTAAATATTTCTAAAAATTACAACTTCAATTCTTTAAAAATCCAATTAATTTTTTAAATTTTTAAATAAAATTTTTCAAAACTTTAGTAATTTTTTAAAAAAATAATGAATTATTAATTGTTTAAGATAAATATTTAAATATTATTATTACAACAATTAAAATTTTTTTTCTGAAGATTTCAATTTAAAAGAATTTTTTTTAAACTTATTTTAAAAATTTACTGTTATTTTTATAAAAAATTAAATGTTTGTATTTAAATAATTGAATTCTGGAAGATAATTCGGACAATTATTAAAAATAATTTATTTAGGAATAAAGTTTAGTAAAAAAAAAATTGTAGAAAATAATTGAATTTTGAAAGGCTTATAGTTGTAATTTTTAGAAATTATTCAATTTCAGAAGGTTTTAAATTGAAATTTTGTTAAATTTTATATCCCGTGGAAAAACAAATGAGAAGTATTTAAATATTCAGTCAACAAAATTATTCAAGTTGAATAATTAAAATGAGTGAAAGGTCATGGATATTGAAAATTTTTTTTTTTTCTTAAAAATTATTATATTTTGAAATCTATGCGTAATTTTGTAGAAAATATGTTTTTGAATCCACAAAAAAAGTTGCTAAATTAAAAAATGTTGATCTTCATAATTTTTAAAGTATTTTTTTGAAAAAAAAAATCTTTATTATTTATTTAACAGGTCTCGAACTAGGTCCGTAAATCCCGTAAAAGTCCGTAACTTTGCTTGAAGTCCGTAAAAGTCCGTTTTTTTGAAAAAAGGTCCGTAAAGTCCGTAATTCGATTGAAAAAGGTCCGTAAAGTACGTAAATTATACGATATAATTTGGATAATTTTAGAGAAATTACAAATGATTGAAGGAATTCAATTATTTTCAAAAGTAATAAAATTCTTCGCAAAAATTCAATTATGTTCAAAAATTTTTAAAAATTCACGTCAAAATTTCATTTATCTTTAGAAATAATTAAATTCTTCTTCGAAATATCAATTATTTTCAAAAATTTTAATAAAATTCTTGGAAAAATTTCAATTATTTTCAAAATTTTTCCTCAATTCAATGATTTTTAATAGGTACCTATACTATTCTAATAAAATTTTCCAAAAGAATTCAATTATTTAAAAAAAATCTACTAAAATTCTACACAAACCTTTAATTATTTTCAAAAAATAATAAAAAATTTACAGGAATTTCATTATTTACAAATTTTTTTATAAATTTCTGCGCAATATTCAATTATTTTCATAAATAATAAAATTTTTACAGGTATTTAATTTTTTTGGCAAATAATAAAATTCTTATTAGGAATTCAATTATTTTAATAAATAATAAAGCTAATTGCAGAATTTCAATTATTTTTAATACAATTTTAATCGAATTCCTCGAAAAATGTAATTATTCTTAAAAATTTTATTAAAATTTATCAAAGAAATGTAATTATTTTAATATCCTTTGCTACAATTTATTTATTAGAATTTAAATATTATTCTTAATAAATTTTTAATTAAATTTCTTTAAAGAATAAAATTATTGCATTCAAAATTTTTAATTCAATTCTTTCCGTAAATTATCAATTATCTTTATAAATAATAAAATTCTTCTCTAAAATTGAATTATTTTTAAAAAATTTAATAAATTTCTTGGCAAAATTTCAATTATTTTCAAAAATTTTCCCTAATTTAATTATTTTTAATATCTACTATTTTAATCAAATTTTGCAAAAGAATTCAAATTATTTGCAAATTGATTGATACAATTCTTTAAAAGAATTCAATTTTAAGAAACATATGTAATTATTCAATAAATTGTTTTTTTGTATTTAAATCATGAAATTCTCGTAGAATTTTCTCATAAAAATTGATTTAAAATGGATTTCAGTTAAAATTTTAGATTATAATTGAATATTAAAAGTATTAGAGCGTTAAGTTTTAAAAATAATTAAATTTTGAAAAGGTTTCAGATTCAAATCTTTGAAAATTTGAATTTTTCATATTTTTAACTAAGTAACAATTCTGTGGAATTAATTTTTTTGAGAAATTTTAATTGCAAATTTTTTTTTATATTATTTGAAGTTTTTATTTTCTAATAAATATTTAGTTGAAGAATTTACAAATAATTGGAATTTCGTAAAATTGAATATTGTAAAGAAATGGATTTGAAAATTGACGAAGAACTTTTTCGAAAATTATTTAAAAAAATTGATTTTAAGAAGAATTTTAGTTAATAATTCTTGAAAATAATAATTGAATTAATAATAATTTTATCACTCTATCTTTAATTATTATAAAACATGAAGTTATCGATCGCTCCGAGTCGAAGACTCAGAGTTATCGATATCTTCATGTTTTTTAGTTATGAAAAAATCTAATTTATAGTTTTAAGTAAAATGTTCTCTTATATATTTTTGTCAGTAATTGGTCCGTAAATGGTCCGTAATTTTTCATTTTTGGTCCGTAAAGTCCGTATTTTTAAATACTTTCACTGGTTCGAGCCCTGATTTAAGGAATTAAGGAATAAAGTATATTTATTTGAGAATAATAAAAAAATAGATTCTTATACTTTAATTTTTTCTTTCAGGACTAGAATGTTTATTGCCACCACCGCCGCCGCCGCCTCCACCACCAAAAATAACCGTCAATGAATCTCATCCACCGCCTTCAATGCCATCGGGCCTACCAACGCCAGTACCTCCGCCGAGTGGTCCTTTCGGAAATATAATGCAACCACCGGTGCGTCCATTTTATCCGACAATTGCACAACCTGTTCTAAGTCATGCGACGTCGACGCCCTGGTGGATACCGACGGACGCTGATTCAACCGATGTTTACGCTCAATGGTACGCGAATTCATATAAAAATGCCGCCGCAGCACAAGGAACACCAGTGACAACAACCGCAACAACAACGCCTCCACAAGCCGATAAATTAAAGGCGAAAAATAAATTTCTTAAACGAAAAATCGAACCAATTGATCCGCGAGTCGATGCCGGTAAAAAGAATCGAATTCTACTTTTTTTAACTGAAAAACTAAATTTTTTAACAAAAATTTAATTAAAATAACTATTTTTTTGCAGAAAAAGTCGCATCCGCTCAAAGGGAATTATCGGCATTAATGAAACCATTAAAATGTGACTTGTGCAATGCTGTTGTAAGTAAATTTATATTTTTTAATATATATATTTTTATTTATTTACTTTCCAGGGTTGACAAAAGAATTTAATTTTCTTTTTCCATGTTCCTAAAGTTCTGAACGTTCAAATGAACGAAATTTATTTATTTCTTCTTTAAATTAAATTTTTATTACAATAATTTTGCGACACTGGCAAAAAAATTAATTGGGGAAGTTTCTAATGTAAAATTTCGATTAATCGGGAATTCTTAATTAAATATAGATTAGAATTCAATTACTTAAATATAAAAATAAATAATGTATTGAAAAATTGAATGTTTCTTAAAATTGAATTTTCCTAAAGAATTTTATCAACAAATTTTTGAATAATTGAATTCTTTCGACGAATTTCAAATAAATTTTTCAAAATAATTGCAATTTTCGTGGAATTCAATTAAAATTGAATTAAAAATAATTTAAATTCTAATATGAGTTTTATTATTATTATGAAAATAATTGAATCTCTGTAAAAAATGTTATTATTTATGAAAATAATTGAATTATTGCGAAGAAATTTTGAAAATAATTGAATTTCAGAGAAGAATTTTATAAAGATAACTATTCATAAAGATAATTGAAATATTGACAAGATTTTAAAAAAATTTGAACATAATATTCAAGTGAGGAGTAAGTTTTCAAAACCTGATAAATCCAAATTTTGTCATTTTGAGAAATTTAAACAAATAACAATTTTTTTTTTAAATTGAACAGTGATAAATCGATTTGTAAGGATTTTAATATTTTGAAAATGTGTTTATCTCAATTTTAAAAAAAATGGATTTATCAACTTTTGAAAAATTGCTCCTCAAGTATAATCTAAAATTTTAACTAAAATTCATTTTTAAATCAATTTTTATAAAAAAATTCATCGACAATTCATTTTTTAAAATACAAAAATAAATAATTTATTGAATAATTCTCAAAATTAAATTAAAAATAATTGAAATTCTACGATGAGTTTTATTATTTATGAAAATAATTGAAATATTGCGAAGAAATTTTGAAAATAATTAAAATTTTTCCAAGAATTTTATTAAACATTTTAGAAATAATTGAATTTCGGAGAAAAAAATTATTATTTAATATTTATAAAAATAATTAAAATATTGACGAGATTTTAAAAAAAAATTTGAACATAATATTCAATTATAATCTAAAATTTTAACTGAAATACATTTTTAAATCAATTTTTATCAGAAAATTCAACGAGAATTCATTTTTTAAAATAATAAAATAATTTTAAATAATTTAAATTATTTTTTAACTAATTGAATTCTTGTAAAGAAATTTATTATCGATGAAAAAAATAGAATTTTTGTGAAAAAATGGATAAAAAATTTGTAAAAAATTGAATTCTTTTGGGAAATTTTATTAAAATAGTAGAATATTGAAAATCATTGAATTAAGAAAAATATTTGAAAATAATTGAATTCTTGAGATGAATATTGTTATTTTTGAAATTAATTGGATTTTGCAATGAATTTTATTAAAATTCCTGAATATAATTGAATTTCGGGGAAGAATTTTGCAATTTAAAAAGATAATTAAAATGTTGACGAGAATTTTTTTTAATTTTTGAAAATAATTGAATTTCTGGAAAGAATTTTGATATTTATTAAGATAGTTGAATTCTTTCAAAGAATTCCGTTAAAATTTCTAAAATTGTAACTAATTTCAACAGAATTGAAATTAAAATTTTCCAAAAAAAAGACTTCATTAAATGATTTTTAAGTGATAACTTTATGGCAGTTCTTTAATAGAATTAAGTTATTTAATAAGAAATTATTGTCACAGAAATAGAAAAAATTGAAGGTTTTTTTATAATTCAATTTCATAGTTTATAAGGAAAACAAAAAGACACAAAAAATCTGAATTTTCTTATAAATTCTAAACATTTAATTTTTTCCAGTACTTTTAATAGAAATCCCTGACTTTTCCCTAAATTCCCTGACCTTTGGCAACCCTGCTTTCATTTTTACTTCAATTTTTTCCTCGTCTTCATTTTTATTCTTTTTTTTTATTTTATTGTTTTTTATATATCTACTTTGTTTTTATTTTTATTCTATTCTTTGTTTTCATTTTATTCTTTTGGTTTTTTTTTAAATTTCATTCGCTTGTTTTTGTTTGTTTTTCAATAGATGAACTCGACGCTTCAAGCAAAACGACACTATGATGGAAAACCACATCAAAAGAAAGTGTCTATGTTTCTTAATCAAAGTGCCAAAAAATTCAAAGTCGATGACGGACAGGTTTCCAGTACGACCGGCAGTGATTGGAACAGTTATTGCGAGGTGATTGAAATTTTTCTACAGATTAAAAAAAAGAACAACAAACTTTCGCATATAGATTTATTGATTATTCGCATTTTTTTTTCTCATAAATGTCTCTTTCTCTCTTTTTCTTTTTATTTTTTGCTCTCAATATTTTTATTGAGGAAATAAAAATTAATTTCGTTTGATCCTTTTGATTCTTGAAAAATAGAAAAATAATAAAAGAAATGAATAACAAATAAATATGTAATGAAAATAAGAATTAAAAAAAAGGATAATAAAAATTGAAGGCAATATAAATAATAAAAATAAATTTTTAAACAATTAAAAATAAATTGAAATAAATAATAAAAGAAATATGAAGATTATGAAAAATTTAAAGAATACCGAGATAATAAGATAATGTAAATTAAATTTTATAAATTATGATAATTTTCTTCCGAGTTTTATCTCATTTTTTTGCTTTCTAGAAATGTAGAATTTATTTTTTTTTCAGATTTGCAAAACGTGGTTCACATCACAAATGGACGCTGCTCAACATTACGCGGGAAAAAAACATATGAAGGCTGCACAAGGAATTTCCCGTCCAAGGTAGGTACTTTAATAAAAAATAACGTTTTACTTTAAAAACTTTTTTCTTTTAAAAATATAGTTTTCTTTTAAAAAAACATTTTTTTTCAACTTTATAAAAACTTATTAAAATTATAATAAATAAAAATTCTCAGTTTGAAATTCATTCACAATACTTTAAATTGTAAATTATTTTCAGGTAACTGAAAAAAATATATTTAATTATAAATTATACTTTCTGTTAAGAAAAAAAAGAATAGTAGAAAAATTCTGTTTTTCAGTCAAAAGAAAAAAAAGGACAATAATGCAGCAGTCGATCCGACGGGACGTTTTGGTGTTGGTTCGCAATTTTTGCCAAATGAACCACCAGTTCCAGCAACAATTGCCGCTGTTCCGGTTCCATTACCAGTTCCCGTACCGGAAGTCGCAGTCTCATCGCCTGCCGTTCATTATTCACAACCAGTTTATACTCAAACATTGCATTGCGATTTGTGTGGTGTTTCAGCAAATCGCGAGGATCAATTGGAAACGCATAAAAGAGGCGCACGACATTTACGAATGCTCAAACTTAACGGATTACCCGTACCTGAAAATGGTAAATTTCTCTTTAAAAAAAGAAATTTTATATTTCTTAAAAAATTTAACCCTATGAACTACGATGACTTATTTAGACTAAAACTAAACTATAGTTTAGCCATTTTTAGAAACTTTATATTTTGAGTAAAATTTACTGAACTACGATGACTTATTTCGACTCTAGTTTTTTTTTTATTAAATTCATTTTTTTATTTTTGTTTTTTACATTGAGAGGAGATAATATTTTTCTGATTCTTTTTTTTTCAGTTCAAGAGGCACAAGTTACACCAACGACTGATGGACCAATCGATTATTCAATTTACAGAACGCCATCAGGTAAATATATTATTTTTGTTCTAATTTATCGAATAAAATATATTTTCACAATACATTTTTTTTTTTTTTTTGATAATTTTCGATAAAGAAATCTAAATATTTTTCTAAATTTCTTAAATTACATGTGTATTAAGAATTTTATCATTTTTATCTGCAGTGAAAACAAAACTTATTAAAGATAAGTAGAAGAAAAATTAAAAACAAATAGCAAAAAAAAACTTGCTATTGAATAAAAACTATGATCATCATTACGCTTAAAACTTGAATGATAATTTTAATAATTATAGTAACCAGAGGTTACCAGAGGTCAATGAATTACTTTAAAAATTCTAGTTTTTAGGGTACAAGAAATTTAGAACTTTTAACTAAAATTGAGGAGCAAATTTTCAAAAGTTGATAAATTCGTTTTTTCACTGTTTAATTTAAGAAAAAAAATTTATTACTAAAGAATTTTCAATTTAAAAAATATTTTGGCCTAACCTTGATAATTTTTAATTAAAATTTTTTTATTAGAAAAAATTACCAAAACCTTTAAATTCCCTTATTGCTTTAGACTTCAATTAGAAACAGAGCGTTTTAAATAGAAAAAATATTCAAAAATGAATAATTCATTACAATTTTTCTACATTAACGTTAATTTTAATGGTTTTGTTGAAATTGTCATTTGTTTAAATTTCTCGAAATGACAAAATTTGGATATATCAGGTTTTGAAAACTCACTCCTCAATTATTAATTTTTTAGAAAAATAATAAATTATGAATATTTAAAGATAAACATTTAAATGTTATTATTAAAACAATTAAAATTTTTATATTTTTGTCTTTTTATTACCTACTTTCAGAATAGTAAATTTACAGAAAATTCCATAAAAAAACTGTAAATCTACAGAAAATTTTTGTTACAGTGTGGTTAAAGTCCTACAATTTTATATTTTGAAAATTCCTTTTACAATTCTTTAACTTTTATATTAAATTATAATTTCCCCAAATTTCGTCAAATTTTAAGAACCACTTGCAGATTGTGATATTTCTGACGTGGAGTCACCCTTGAGTTAAATTGTTTTCAATGAGGAATAATAATTGAATATTTAATTAACAAAATTATTAAATTTTCAAATAATTTTATTTAAAAATTCAAAAAAATAATTTAATTTTGAAAGAATAACAGTTGTAATTTTTTTAGAAATAATTAAATTTCAAAGTTTTACATTAATATCATTAAAAATTTTAATATCTGTGGAGAAATAATTATTTTATCTTATCCTAAAAATGAAAAAAATAACTTGAATAGTTCTATCAATCAATTATTTTTGTATTTAAATAATTAAATTCTCGTAGTTGAATTATGATAAGAATAGATTTATAAAAGAATTTCAGTTTTAGAAAATAATTGACTATCAGAAGCTTAATAGTAGGAATTTTCACAAATAAACAAATTTAAAAAGGTTTTTAAATTGAAATCATTGAAAATTTTAATTGTTGTAATTATTCAGAAATAATTTATATTCGGAATGTTTTTATCTAAAGTTTTTTAATAATTTCAATTGCTGTAAAAAATTATAAATAATAAAATATTTATTATTTTTTATTATTATTTTATTATTTTAATTTGGAAATATTAAAAAATATTAAAGGTGAAAGAAGTTAACAATTAATAATAATAATTGTTAACTAATTAATTAATTAATTAATTGATAATTGTTAACTTCTTTCACCTTTAATATTTAACTGGCAAATGATAAATTCATTTCCTTTAATTAAAAAATATTAATAAAAATAAAAAAAAATTTGAAGTATAATTATTAACAAAATTAACATTCGTTGAATTGTTTTTTCTTTTTTAGGACAATATTATTGTGCGCCGTGTAATTTGTCGCTCAATTCAGAAATAACATTCGCTCAACATATTGAGAGTAAAAAGCACAGAAGTCAAATTAATCCAAAGGTACAAGTGACGCCTGTAACGTCATCAAAAAAATCTCACAAGAAGAAAAATAATAATTAGAAACGTCCTTTTTTTCTCTAAAAAAGAAAAAAAGAAATAATTTTTGCAATACACACGAAAAAATAATTTCTCCTTTATAATTCCTTGATGTTTTCACGGTTCCAATTTTCATTGTCTATTTCACAATCAATTGCATGAATGTTGAAATATTTTCACGATTTCTTCAAAAACAAAAAAAAACACAAAGGTATGTCACAATATCTTACACTTCTTTTTATTCTTTATGATTACATTTATTATAAAAGTTTAAGAGAGAGAAAATTAAAATATTTTTATTTTTTTGTCATCGACGAGAAAATGTTTGATTTTCCTCTCAAATCATCGAAAATGAAAATTTAATTTTTATAATTTTTACCGAAGAAAAATTTTGAAAATGAAACAAATATATTTATAAAATTAAATGATTCCAATGTTTTGGAAGAAGAATTTTTTCACTTTTCTATAAATAAATAAATAAATAAAAAGTCAATATTCGTCAACGAAAATTGCAAAATAAAAATAATTCATTAGTTTAATGAAAGGAAATTAAAAAAATTACTTTCAAAAATATTTCTTCGGGGAATGAAAAATAAATTTTCAGTTTATTCTATGTTATATTATTGACATTAGTAAAAAATTGTTTAGTTTTCAAAAATCGACGAATTTATTATAAAAAAATATAATTTGTTGGTTTATTTAGATTACAAAAAAAGAAATACAAATTTGTTGCAATTATAATTGTTTGCAAAAGTAAATTTTGATTTCAATCTTTCATTCCTTTCAACTAAAGAAAGAAAGAAAGAGAGAGAGAGAGAGAGAGAAAGAAAGAAAGAAGGAGAGAGAGAGACGATTTCGGGGGGAAAAAGTAGCAAATTTTTTTCAATCTGCATATATTTATAATTAAAAATTAAAAAATCACTTTATTGAGAAAGGAAAAAAAGGTTAATTGATGTGATTTAATGGAAATAAAAAATAAATTTTGTAAAATTATTCGATAATTGGGATAGATGATGAGGAAATAAATATATTAGTCTGGGATATTTAAATTAAATGTCGATTAACATTAAATTAGATTGCCTGTAAATTAAAAGACGATTAAATTGATAGCTCGTTAAAACACGACTATGAGCAAAAACCCCTTCCCCTCCCCCTAAAACCCTTCTTTCCGCCCCTTACGACTAATCGTTGACATTTATTGAATTAAGAAACCATTAACGCGATGCTTCGCGAAATCGTGTGCGACGTGACATTGCTCGCGAGAAAATTTACGTTGCTCGTTTTAAAATATATACATATATTACTATAGAAGCGAAACTTGTCTGCGTGTGTCTCTCTCCTTTTCATTTGGCAATGATTTAAAAAATGATAAGATCGCTAAAAAAATTTTTTTCTGGTCATCTCTTGTTTTTTTTTATTGTTGCAGATTATTTACAATGAAATGAATTTTATATTTTTTGTAAAGAATTTTTGTCTCAATGATGAGATTTGTTTTAGTGTGGTTTTTATACTTTTTATTTGCTGTAGGATTTTTAATTTTATTTTTTGTATTTTACTTTGTTTTTACCTTACTTTATTTTTTGCATTTTTTGTTAGTTATAAATTTATTATTTTATTATATATTTATTCTATTTACTTTGTGTAATTTTTATTTTATATTTTCTGCCTTTTTTGTTTTACTTTGTGTAATTTTTATGCTTTACTTTCTGTATTTCCTATGTTTTAATTTTTGTATTTTGTGTATTTTTTTTTAGTTTTTTATTACTTTTATTAATTTTTTTATAAATTTTAATTTTTTAAAAATAATTTTCATCATTTATTCCGTTTTTCTACTTTATTTTGGGTTTTTTTTCGTCTTGAACATTTTTAATTTTAAAATGTTTACTTTACTTTTTCTTCTTTTCCATTTTTCATATTTTTTCTTTTTTTATTTTACGCGTTTTTAGTTTATTTTTAAATAATTTTTTCCAGTCATTTTTTGCAATTTAGGTTTGATTTCAATTAATTATTTTTTGTCTTTGTTTAAAAATTTTTTGTTTCATAAATTATTTTTATTTTTTATTTATATTTTATTCAACAACTTTTTTTTATTGTCATTTTTGTAGTTTTTTTTCCATTTTTTCACCTTTGATCTTTTTGTTTTTTTATTTTTGTTTTCTTTTTCTGTATGTTTTTAATATAATTTTTGCTTTAATTTTTTATTTTATTTTCGTTTTCTTTTTTTACTTTTTTTATTCTTATTTTACTTTCTTTATACTTATTTTTTTCACCTTTTCAGACAACATGAAATCGATTGAGCAAAAATCCATGCTCGCTCAATGCTTCGTCTATAATGGATGGAAAAATTGGTACAATATTAATCTGAACCAAACATGTTTATAAAATATTTTTACTCAATTTCTCAATATGTTAAATATCTGGAAATTAGTAAAATTTTCTATTTTATTTAATGTTTGATAAGGAAAGGTTATTTATGATATGTAGAAGAAAAATTAAAAACAAGAAATGCTTCCTTTGAAAGCAATAATATTGAGAAGAAAGGAAATAGATTTCTTTTGAAAAATTCGGATTATAGTTTCATACATAAGTAATAGTTAAAAATTAATAATTAGTAGAGTAAAATTGAACAAAATTGGAATCAATAGAAAAAATTATTGTAATTATTATAGTAATTGTCTTTTTAGTTTTTTGTTGTCTTCCGGTTCTTGACTTTAGAAATTTTTATTTTGTTTTACCTTATTTGTTTGTCAATTTAATTTAATTTTTTTGTTTTGCTTTATTTGTCTTATTTTCTTATTACATTTTCTCTTGTGTTATTTATTTGTTTACTCTTTTACTTATTTTTTAATTGTATTTTTTATTTTTCTTTATATTTAACTTTTGTTTTCCTTTCAAAAAACAAAAAATTGTTTTTCATTGTTTATTTCCTAGTTGGTTTTAAAAAATATATCAAACATTTTTTTCTTTGACATCAAAAGAATTCATTACAATATTTTTAAATTAATAAAAGTATTCGTTTAATAAAAGCATTTTTTTTACTATTGTGATATTTTGTTTTTGTTCGTTTGTAACTTCGGTTGTTTTCTTTGTTTTAGAACATTTACTTCATTTTTATTTTTTGTTATTACTATTATTATTTGTCCCTTTTGAATTTTCCATTGTCTTTTAAAAATAATTTCTATTTCTTCATCCATTACTATATTTTATTTCATTCTATTAAAATTTCTAAAGTCAAGAACCCAAAGACAACAAAATTCGTTATAAAAAGAAAAATTTATAAGGATAATCAACCATTTCATAAATCCCGTATATCCCATCTATTATAGAGAAATTTCTAGACAATTAATTTTAACTGCTTAACTATGCCAAGCAATTAAAGTCATTTCTAAATGGTTCTTTAAATTAGAGTTTAAGAAAAAAATCATGCCGTAAAAAATAATCATGAAACAAAATCTATAAGATTCAAAATTATTTTATAACAAAAAATTCTTAAAAAATTGTTTGTTTAAAAATATTGCATTAAACATTTTTTTCTTTAACATAAAAATTCATTACAATTTTTAAATTAATAAAAGTTTTCGTTTATTAAAAGTATTTTTTTTTATTAGACGTATTCTCTTACCACCCTTAAAATCTTTAACAAGCAAAGCTTTCGGTTGCAATTTGCAAACAATATACATTTTTTCAGTTATTTTTTTAAAATGAAAATCGAAAGGAAATTATCGCGATTCAAAAGGTAAATATGTATAGGTATCAAAAAAATTAAAAATAAAATCTTAGTGGTGTGGGAGGTGGGGGGGGGGGGGGTTTCGAAAAACAAACTCGTTAAAAGCGGACAAGAAGTCATAAAAATGGGATGTGCAGGTATATACTAACGATCCACAAGTTCGTGTCGAGGTTGATCCTAATCTAGCTATGCGAGATGAGACTTTCAGTAAGTCCAGAGTCGACAGAAAGAAAAAGATAGAGAGCGAGAGAGAGAGAGAGAGAGACTCACTCTTTGGCTGATGGTGGTAGTAGAATTTTAAATGAGCAAAAAAACCGCGATTGAGACCAAGAGAAAGAAAGAGAGAGAGAGAAAAAAGAAGTGGGGAGAAAATAAAAAAGGTGACCAAAAAAAAACTAAAAAAAAGAGAACGGAAAAAATATGGACGCGCTGTTAAATTGCCGTAGGACGAGTTTTACTCCGGGATCAAGCAAAGACGCTATATGGGCATATTATAAATGCAAAACGACGAGCTTTGCCTTTCGCGATTTGTTATATATGTGTAGAAGAATTTTTTCCGTTTTTTTTTTTTTTGAAAAAAATAATTCGAGTACTCATCATAAATTCCTTGTCGTTCTCGCTTCACGGCAGATGAGACGAGATCATATAGATTTCTTTTTATTTTCGAGAGTAGAACCACAAAGAATTATTTTCTCAGGAATCGTCAAAATTATGACGATAATTAAAAGTCAAACGTTAAGGTATATTTTGTTTTTATTTTTTTCGACTCTTAATAGTTGTAAATATTTAGGAAATATTTCTTAATTTTTTTAAAAATAAATTCCCAATCGGGTGGATTAGGGTTGAAGATCCTTTAGCGGTATTAATTTTTTTTTGAGATTATTCCCTTTTTATTGTTAAATTTTTTTAAGCAAGTGAAACGCATCGACGACTTCTATTCTTTTTCCCACTTCCGGTCGTGTTAATATGTGTGATGCGCCGTAATAAAAAAAAGTCCCATTGTTTAAAGTGTTTCAAAATTATTTTTTTTTCTTTTTGATGAAATTTGGAGCAATGACTAGTGAATTTTTCTGAGAAATTTAAAAGGAAAAAAAGGGGACCAAGTTCGTCATGCATTCACCTGCAATCGAATACGATCCAGACGCCGTAACGAAAAAAAAATCAATCACTCGCGGACCTTCCCGCCAAGGATGATGAGGGAAAAAGAGAAGAATTGACCCCCCCACCCCCTTCTCCTCTTCTTCTCTTCCTTGTCTCCAGTCTTCCCCTCTCTATCGTGCCAATCGTCTGTCGGCACAAACCGGTGATTGCAAATCGAACGCAAACAACATAAAATCGATCGGGCGGAAATCCATGCTTGATCAACGATCGAGAAAGTGTCCTAATGTGCAAAAAAAAAATTGGCACAATATTAACCTCGATCAAACATGTTTATAAAATATTTTTACCTAATTTCTCAATATATTAAATATCTGGTAATTAGTAAAATTTTCTATTTTATTTAATGTTTGATTGGGAAAGTTTATTTATGAACAGTAGAAGAAATGTTTTGAAAGACGCAGACAACATGAAATCGATTTGGCAAAA